AGCCGATCTCGTAAAATTGTGGATGGACTTCTATGATATTTCCAATTAAACAATGCCCATCTAAGTCCAATTCAAGTAATATTTTTGGGGTTATATCTAGTTTATCCCATTACAATCTAATTAATGTTTTCATGAGAGTGGCCAATTTCCTGGTTAGTTATTATTCTTGTATTATTTTTAGATAAAATTATATAAAACCTCCTCTTATAACAATTCTATAAACCAACTTTGTGTTTTGACCCTAACAAAGGCCTCCCCTATAGTTTGAAAAAATGTGTAAATACCTCCTTTCCCTTGGCTTTTTAGTAACAAATACATTAAAATTATCAAAATACCCTTGTCATTGTTAAGGCATTATTTTAGTAAATCTACATGTAATGAAGTTGGTTAAGAACAAAGATGGTATTTAAAAAAAATAATGCATTACATCAATATTTTTTATTTGGAATGGTAATGAAAGGAAGGTATTTGCACCCTTTTTCAAAACAATAAGGGAGGTTTTTGTTAAGGTCAAATCATAAAGAAATTTCAAAGAATTATTAGGAAACCCAAGATGATTTTTATAATTTCCCTATTTTTAAATAGAATATAAATTGATTTTAAATTAATTACACTATATTTAAAATTAATAATTTTTATTAATTCTTATTAAATTTAATTAATTATATTAAGTTTTTATTCTTTAGTGGAACTTAAGTTTTTATTCTTTAAAAGAGGAAAAATTAATTAAAAACTAATAATTTTAAATTGATATTTGTATTTTRTTTAGGTAACTTACTAAATTATTTTTATTATGGTTAATCAATTCTTATTATTTTCAAGTGAAATATAAATGGATTATAATTTTTATGATATTTTATTCAATGTTTTTAACTTGTCATTGACCCAGAATAGTTTTATCATTCAAACTATCATTTGACCCTATTTCTAATTTTGGGTTTCCTAAAAACCGCCTTATTCAACCTGGGTAGTTGAATTGAACCATTGACCCTTTTGTCCCAATCATTGGGTCATAGGTTACAACATACTATGTATTGAAAACTTTTGGTGGATTTAACTTTTTCTAGGTTGCTTGATTGGGAATTGTCTTTTTTTTTTTATTTTGGATAAATTTTTGTGAACTTTGTAGCTCCACTATACAAAAAAAAAAAATCAATTGTTGGCTTCAAATTTAAATTTTCGGCTCTTATATTTATAAACATTAAAAACAAATAGCCCTTATATTCTATATATATAAATGGACCCCATGTCACAGTTTGACTCGTCCAACCCGAACAATTGAACCATTGACTTGACTAGGGGTGGCCACAAGTCGAGCTTCTCACAAGCTATTCGAGCTCGACTTGTGAAAAGCTCGGCTCATCTCGGTTTAAACTGAGCTTCGAGCCGAGCTCAAGCCTAATATATAGGCTTGTTTACTAATCGAGCCGAGCTCAAGCTTAGTGAAGCTCAACTCACGAGCCTAATCAAACCTAATATAATAAATAAATAATTTTTTATTATATCAATACATACATATACATATATAAATATATATAATAAATAATTTTTATTATATATAATTATATTTTATATATAATATTTTTATTTTTTATGTATAATAGCAAATTTTTATAATTCTTATTTTTTTGTATGTAAAATAAAAATATTTTTATATGTATATTTTTTATGTATAAAAATAAATAATTTTTATAATTCTTAATTTTTTGTATATAAAATAAAAATATTTTTATATGTATAACTTTTTATTTCTTAGAAAAAACTTAGTTTATAGTCAAGCTTGAGCCGAGCCGAGCTTGAATTTGTGAGCTTTGAACTGAGCAAAACTTGAGCTCAAGTCTCTAGCTCGAATCGAGCTCAAGCTCGAGCTAAAGCCTAACATAATTTTAGCGAGCCGAGATCGAATAGCCAAGTATTTGGCTTGGCTCGACTCAAATCCACCCCTACTTGTGACCTTGGGGCAAAAACTATTCAGCCTCCAAGTCATTTTTTTAAAGCATTGATTTTATTTGTTGGGTAAAGTAAATAATGTAGGTTCTTAAATGTAAATTACTTTATTAATTAACTATCTTTTAACCTTTATTAATAATTGCAGTTAAAGAATTTGAGAAAATTTAATGTAGTAATGGAGAGGAGAGAATTAGTGGAATGAATTAATAAATGAGTGAGTTAATGACATAATTAATAAGGACAGATAATTAAAATAGTTAATGGGAAATAGGAGAAATAGTTAATGGTGAATTAATGAGAAGAGTTAAAAGTAATAAAGGTGATTGGCCACTTGAGTTATTTTGTTCAATTTTAAAATTAAAAAATTGAAAAAAAGATAAGTGCAAGATAAATCAGAAAGCAATAGAGTGCCAACTTGACACATTCCATTTTTATATATGAGAATTTGTCTAAAACTCACCCTGGATTTTCATGAATTCTCTTGAACTCACCATAACGTTTTAAAACATCCAAAACTCACCATGTCAGTAAGATAACATTAACTTGACTAACAGATATTGCTAAAGGGAAAACCATTAACTTTTCATGAATTCTCCCAAAATTACCCCTGTCATTTTTCAACCCAAAACCCTAATAGTTTGAATGGAAGAGAACACCATTGCTGCTGCTTCTTCCACCATTTGAGAAAGGGGAAACCATTGCCATTTGCCACTGCTTCTTCTCCGGCCCATCTGAGAAAAAGAAAACGATTGCCGCTGATTCTTCCACCATCTAAGAACATGAAAACGACTGCCGTTGAGACCTCCGGCGGCAGTTGTCTGATCGGTGTTTAGGTATGAATGAAACTAATTAAAGACGTTTCAGCAGAAGTGATTGATTAAAGAGATCTACAGGAACATACCAATCTTAGTTCCTTTTTTTTAATATTGTTAAGAGATGATGATAAAAGAATTATCTAGGAACTTGAATTTCTTTTCTAGAAAACCTTTCCTGCTTCATCCGCATGGAATGATGATGTGGTCAAACCAATATAGATCAGAAGAATGACTCTCTTTATTTACCTGTTAATTTTAGATCATATTTTTTCAGCATATTAGACCCAACTTCATCTTCAGATTTTATAGTTAATTTGCATCTTTAGTGGGAGAGAAAGAAGGAGAAGCAGAATATCATTCCAAGTTGTTGTCCGAGTGATCCCTGAACTCTGTGTTTATTCGGTGTTCAAGAACCCAAACCACAATGGCAGTAAAGATGAAGGCTACAAATCGTCAGCTACAGATCTCAAGTCAAAGGCTTGAAAAAAAATCCAAGTCTTCTTCCTATGATCATCTTTGATTGGCATCACCATAGCTTTTATTGACTCAGTGTATAAGGCAATGTAAAATCCACATACGATCATCGATTTGCTATGATTGTTACATCTCCCACCACAACATCAAATTCATGTTCATTCTAAAAGGAATCCACTCACTCCTCAGTCCTGAAACATGAAATTTCTCCACCACATTTTTTTTTTTCAAAAGGAAGAAATAACAGAAATATTCTAATGGAGAGCTGTTCGTTTTAGAACTTAGTGGATGATGAGTGCTCTAAAAATTTTGTTTTTTCTATGTGTTCATCAGCCGCTTCTGGTTAGGGAACCAGTAACATGTGGTTTTAGAACAAAAAACCACCCCCACGCTCAATGAAAAAACGAGTGCCCTAATTAAGTACAAACGGAAAAAAATGAAGGTGAAATAATTGGTTAGAGGTTGGTTGGACGTTGAGAGTAAGAAGACTCTTTCTTGGACGTTGAGAGCAAAGACTCATCCTTGGATGTTGAGAGCAAGAAAGACTCATCTCAACAAGCAGAAATCTTATATATGAAAGAAGTTTGGGTGCTTAAGGGCACTTCAGTCCAAAAAAAATTGTTTAACAAGCTGATGACTCACTATTCGGGAGCAATTTGGTCATGAAACTTGCATTTAGGTTGATGTGGACAACTTGGGTCAGTGAACTTTAACGGTGCTCTAATAGATGGTGTGTTTTGAAAAATAAAAACAGACTGACAAGGTGAGTTTTGGACAATTTCCGAAGCTTGAAATCTTGTTTGGTTATGCCATTTATCAAGAAAACAAACATTTTTCTTTGGCCATGTAAGATTCGTCCATTAAATTAACACTTCCTCCAATTTTTACTATTTGAATTATATTTTGTCCTATTTTTCAAGACAAATTCGTACAAAATGATTTTCACAACGGCAATGGAACCAAGCAACCAACATTTAACGTGAATGGGTTCGACTATGATATGGAAAAGATATGATATCTGAAAATTTTCTGACTAATCAAATGGAATCATAAACGTGATAGCCAATCAGGTGTTATTTATCAAAATTCATGGATGGATTTTAATTGATCAAAACTCTTCTCATACCATATCTTTTTAGTAGCATAGATTTTCCCAATGTGAAAACACCAAAAGAATAGCCATTACACATAAAAAATGACACATATATCAAAGCTTTAACTCTAATTTTTTGTGACTATTATCTCCAACAGAAAGAATTAAATGTGCAATGAGGAATCAATATCAAATTATCATTCAAGAAGAAATAAAAATACGGTTTCTATTTGCAGCTGAGACTCATATTGATTTTGCTTGGAACATGCAATAAGACACGCATGATCGGTTTCGCTTTCATGTGTCCGTCGGAGTCGGAGACAAAATTAAACAACAGTCAATAGGCAATTGAAGATGGGCATAGATTAGGACGTTAATAGGATATTTTCAAGTTTAACTGTTGAGAGTAATTTTCACCATTTTCTCAACTTTCTTACTTGTGTGAAGACGTTGTGTTTCACTTTTACGATTCATCGTCATCCCTCCGACGATTGGGCTGTTATCAATACATCTCGGGGGGATGTGTTGTCTTGTGGGACGTTGTGGGGGGTAATATTGTGGGGGCTGATTTGAACTCGATAAGATTATGCCATTTCGTCATCCAAATATAAAAAGTGGCCCCAAATTTTCTACCATTATACCCCTGGATGCAAAAAAAGAGAAGAAAACAAACTCTGTTAAAAAATGATGACTTCTCTGTTCGCTCCCGATCGTCTTCTTCCCCATTTCGAACGTTGAAGGATTTCTCAGAGGAAGCTTCCTGCGTACGCCATCCGGTAGAGGTCTTGTTTTGTCACCGATAGAGATCCCGACTGTCTTCCCATTTCGACATTGGTCCATTTGTTTTGAACGTTGGAGAGGTTTCTCACCGTCTTCCTCATTTCGAGCGTTGAAAGATTTTTTAGAGGCTCCTGTGTTCACCGTCCAGTAGAGGTTCCGACCGTCTTCCCCATTTCAACATTTTTTCGCTCCTTCCAGCCATTTTTTTCAAACGTTGAAGGGTTTATCAAAGACCGTCTTCCCTATTTCGAACGTTGAAAGATTTCTCAGAGGCTCACTACGTTCACCATCCAGTAGAGATCCCGTTTCCTCACCATTAGAGATTCGACCATCTTCCCCATTTAGACATTTATTTGCTTCTTTCGTCCCTTTGATTCCTCGAATGTTGGAAGGTTTCTCATAGGCCCCATGTACTAGCCATTGAAGCCAGCCGTTCTTCACCGTCAGAAATGAGCTCTCTCAGCCATCATGCACCCTCACATCCAAATCTGATCATCTGTGGCACGTCGAAGATCAAAAACTTTGTTTGTTGGACATTTGGTAGATTATAGTGGGATTTGCTCCTCCAATACCCTGTTCCATTGCTCTGAATGCGGTAAGGAATTAGCTATTAGTGAATTCTTTAATGTGTTAATGTGGGATTTTTACTTTGCAGTTGCCATTACTCATTGTGTTGTCTCTCCAATTGGAGTTAGAATATTACATTTTGTAAGGAATTCAAGCAATAGGCATTACGTTAACTATTATTTAACTGTACAATGCATTTATTTTGGTGAATACCATGTATTAGATGGTTTATTATGGGGAGTTGATTTCTTGGTTTTATTGAGTGATAATTGAGTTTTGTCAATCTATATATGAAACTGAAATGGTACACTGTGTTCGGATTGTATTTTGTGCTAAGGTTAAGGTGTTAAATTCCCGACAAGAAATGTCAGGTGACAAAGTTGGGACAAGGTGTTCCACTAAACAATTTAGAGAGATGCCAAGTAGTTTGTCTCTAAGTTTGGAGCGAAGAGAAGACTCCAATAAATTCCCTTTGGACACTTCTTGGATTTGCCACATGTGATTGTGGAGATGTCCCTTCTGACTTATCTAGTAAAATCGTGGGATTCGACTAGCCATTGCTTTATAGTTGGTGAAAGGACTGTGCAATTCAGCGAGGCCCATGTTGCCTTGATAATGGGGCTTGACTTGTCGGGTAGTACAGTTGCCCTATCAGAAGGCCTTCCTTGATAATGGATTGTTCAAAAAATCGTTTAGGATGAAAATCACTCTACTTATATAGAGTTGGATCTAGTAATGATTGTTCTGTTAGATAGTGAGGAGCACAATGAGGAGGTGGTGAAATTGATTGTTTTGTTCTTATTCCGTTATGTGTTGTTTACCCATGGCAGTTCGAGGGTGATCTCCTTCTGGGCTGGATACGTTGACGATTTATAACGCATTAGTGATTATGCCTGGGGAAATGTGTACATGAATTCTTGGCCGGTGGTCTTGACCAGTTTGTTTCTAGTTGTGGTGCTGGATTGAACGGAGGTTCATCCTCATTTAGTGGTTGCCTATTTGGATGCAACGTTGTGTTGATGGTTAGTGTGGATGGCATTCATTTTTTTATTTATACTTTATGTAAATCTCATTCAATTTAGGATCGCTTATTGGTTGTTTGCTTTTTATAGGCATGGCTTTACGAGCACACAATGCTATTCACTCCTTCAGTTCTCAATGCTAGTCCTCATTTGTTCAAGTGGGGGAACATGGGGTATCAATGGAGGCAAAAGAGAGCTGATTTGTTGAAGAAAGCTAAGCCATAAATGGTTCTCACTTCTGTTCCTCTACTTATGGTGTTTGTAATTATTTGTTTTGTTGTGGGGAGACCCAAGATCTCATATGGATCTGTAAACCCGTTACAAGTTATTGAGGTTCTGAACCCTACTAGTGAGGAGGTGGTCTTAGTGGAGGTTCAGTCAGAGGGCTGTGTAAGTTGAATTAATGATATTATTTTTTTTTCTTTTTTGTGGAGTCCTCTATGTGACCCAAATACATGGTAGTAATTAACATTTGGTGTTCATATGTAGTTTGTGGACCCAGGGGGCCATAGTGTGGGTAAGGAACCATTTTCTGATAGAAAGGACCCTGGTCACGGGTGGGGTCAAAGGGGGCAAAAAGGTATTATTAGCATAGCATACATGTTTTGAGTTATATACAAGTTGACGAACTGCTAATGTTGAGATTTGCTAACCAACTTCTAACTTGATTTTTAAGGGTTTCTGTAAATTCTACATCGAATCTATGGAATATCAAATTCTGTGTACAAAGGCCAACCAGTACGCCTCGACAAGAAAGCAGAATGAGGCACTTTGTGAGGAAGTTAATAGGCTCTATACAATGTTGAGAAATAAAGGATTGGACCCGGATGTAGTACCATTGAGTGAGGGGCTGATAGGTTTGGCAACATGCGTGCCAGAAGATGATGATAATGGTGCAGACTTGCCTGTTGGAGTTGTAGGCGGCACCACAGGGGTAGAGCAATCTCTTGAAAGGACTAGCACTGTAGCCCCATCTTGCGAGATTGTTAATGTGTCTCCCTCCATTGCCTCATCCTACAAGCATAAGTTTTCTCGGGCAAGGAGAGAAAGAAAGCAAAGAAACACAGTGGTGTCGCCTTACCTAGCTCCTGGGCAACAAGGGCAGGTAGCGAAAGAGTTTGCCATTGCTGCAAGGTCCAAAAGAGCAATAAAGGAGAAGGTGAAGTAATAACAGTTGGTATTGTCATGGTGTTATCTATAGGGTTGAGTTGGTTGTTGCGTGTAGGGTTGAGTTGCTTAGTAGTTTAGTGACTAGTGGAGTATTTGTTGCAGTCGATGGATACATGATCCTTGTGGACTTCTTTTAAGATAAAGGGCTTGCTCCCAAAGGAGGACATAGCAGTTGTGAAATTGTTCTTGAACAACTCCAAGAGAGGGCAAGTGCACATTATTGTATACTAGATTGCATCCATTTAATTGATTTTCTTTAAACTAGATTTTGTCTATATCATTTTTTTCTTGTGTAATGAAGTTGATTAATGGTTATTCTCATGGCAGTGAACAATTAGTATGGAGTGATGATGTTGTATTTTTAACCCCAGATTTCCTGTTGCCCCTCTTCAACCCGGAAGCATGGGTTTACGATGAGGTATTGGTTTGGTTTAGGGGGTGTTGCATGCCAATATAAGGCTAATTTGTAATCTGGTTTCTGAGGGTAGAATCACCTAGAGGCCACTCCAGCCGGTGCGGAGGGTTCGGTGGCCACCAAACCACACCCTCCTACTACCACTAACCCACCGAGTATCCTGACACCTTCTGATTGCCCATCGGCCCAATGGCCTAGATCGACGATGGGAAATGGTGATTCTACAAAAGCATTATTTCCCATCGTATGCCCTCCCGTTAGACCAGGCCATCTCCACCTCCCGCGAGGATGTCTAGAAGACCTCACCCCACCCTGTGGGGGTGGTACCACCACCCATCTACCCCATGCCCCCCCCTCCATGATAGCATATTGGAAATGGTAGAATCACCCAGAGGTCGCTCCGATGGGTGTGAAGGGGTTCGTTGGTCACCAAACCCACACCCTTCTACTGCCATTGACCCATCGAGCAACCCGACACCTTCCAACTGCCCAAACTGACAGAGGGAAACGATGGTTTTGCAAAAGCATTATTTCCCATTGTCGGCCTTCCCCATTAGTCCAGAGTGTCTCTGCCATCTTTGTGGATGTCCAAGAGACCTCTCCCCACCCTGTCGAGGTGGTACCGCCGCTTGTCTACCCCCACACCCTCCTCCGAGAATGTGCCGGAAATGGTAGAATCACCTAAAGGCCACTCCAACATGTGCGGAGGGGTTCAATGTACACAAACCCACACCCCTACTGCCGTCCATCTACCCAGGCTCACCGACTAGCCACTCCAGCAGGTGTGGAGGGGTGCAATGGCCACTATACCCACACCCCCTACTGCCACTGACCCACCAAGCATCCTAACACCTTTCGGTCGCCCCTCGGCCTAACGGACTAGACCATCGGTGGGAAACGGTTGTTTTACAAAAGCACTTTTTCCCACCGTCAACCTTCCTCATGAGCCTAGGCTTCTCTACCTCCTACGGGAACATCTAACTCATAGGTTGATTTCATGGACTCAATCTGCCTCATGCAAACATCAACTACTCTCTCCACATTTCCAAGGCGTTCCACAACATCACCATGACTATTTGC